GGGGGGTCCCTCTTAGATTTGTTTTTGGGAATTTAATTTGAGAACAAAGTTTCATTTCAATTCCCCCCTTTAACGATAGTTATTGTCTTGCCTAACCCCTAGCATGTAATCAAAACATGGCCATGTCGGCTTTCCATTTATTTTAGAACAATTTTTCACTTTAGCCCTATTTAAATTTTTTATTATTAAAATCGACCCTTTTTTCTTTTATTTACCAAAACCGACCCGATTTCTTGATTAGCGGTTTAATCACATTCCTAATTAGTCGGGGTTGCCAACCCCGACTATTCACATGCATAATCTTTCTTTTGTTATTGTGTTTACAATTTTTTTAAGGTTTTTCTCTTTCAAAATCAAGAAAGTTGCCTAGATTTCATTTCCATGTGAAGAAGATTCTGCATCTTCTTCTTTGAATGGTAGGGCAGTCAAAATGAAGTACACATGCAATTTCAAGGCATCCATGCTAACTTAAAAAATTGAAGCAAACCTACGTAGGAGATTTTTATAGCTGCCATTTCTTTAGTCCTTCCAACGGCTCAAAAAATGTGACATTTTTCCAAATAGTATGATGGGAAGATTTTTGGAGGCCGAAAGAGATTTTGGACAAGCTTATTAATTATGGTTTGACAGGAAAATGTTACATGGTGAAATACAAGAGATGAGAAAGAAGATGGAAGAAATAGAACATAAAAGCTCGCAGTTGGCATTCCAGAACAAGAAGTTGAAGAATAAAAATGTGAAATTGAGGTTGGAGATCCAGGACATGAGTATGAGATTTTCCTGTGTTAATTTTGCTCTAATTGTAGTTTTTCAGTTTTTGTAACTTTGATTTTTGTTGATGAGAAATAAATGTATATAGCTTTTTTGGACAATTAGAGAGCAATTACTTACCTGTAACGTGATGAGAATGTATTTGTAGAAGTTGTTTGTACCTGAATTTGTATGTAATAAAAGCTAATGAAAATTATTTGTGTATTAGAATCAATACATGTATTATTTGTGCACTTAGATGAATTCTGAATTGTATTGTGATTTGAATACATGTCAAATTTGTTGGATTAAATCTAATTATGGGCATATATGTTACATTAGTGTATAATGTTATCTTTAAGGCTAACCCACATAAAGTGATCAATCAATTTGGGTTAATGGGTATTTAAGTAAATCATGGGCTAAATGTGCGGATACCAGGTTGTAATTATAATTTGATGAGGGGCTAAATTATAAAAGTACAACAACTATAAATAAGGGGTTATAGTCCCTAATCTAGGGTTACATTCTCTATTCTCTTAATCCCCATCTAAAGATATTCTAAAGGAAAGACCCTCAAGATTAGAAGATTAAACCCAATTCAGATCCGTGCAAATCTAAGTTATGGATTCAGGTAGTGCTTCCGCTCTCATTGTTGTTATTTTATTCTCTTTGAATTAATCATGATTTTATGGATTAGATCTCAGATATTTTAGATCTAACAAGTGGTATCAGAGCCACCCGTGATTAATTCTTAGGGGTTTAAGTTTTAAAATTGGGTTTTTTGATCTTAAAAATCTCTGGTTTTTCTCAGAACTATTCATGGATGTACATTAAAATTCCGTAACAGTAAAGTTTTAAATTTTGTTGGGTTTTTTCTTCGATTTTTTGGGGATATGGATCAAGAAGTCATCTTTTTTTTTCCGATTCTGGACCTGGTTTTGAAATAAAATCGAGGAATTTTTTAGATCTATTTTTTTGTTTGGTCGTCGGTCCCCGTGCTCCTCGCCAGCGAAGTGTCGCTGGCGGCCTCGCTCTCGACTCCGACAACGACGGCAGTGTCAGGAAACCCTAGGGTTTCGACTTTTGGGTGCGGGAGCAATGACGGCGGCGGTTTCAGAATAAAACCTCAAGGAGTTCGTGCGTGAAAACGCAGCGGAAAATTAGGGCAAAAGGAGGGAGTTACCTCAATTCTCAGGCGAGCCTCGTGCTCAATCCAAACGAACATGCATTCGTTCTCAAGTCGAACCATGCGTTCATTCTCCGGCGAGCCTCGTGCTCGATCCAAACGAACCCTGCGTTCGTTCTGAAGTCGAACCTCGCGTTCATTCTCAAGTCGAACCCCGCGTTCATCCTCAGGAGAGCCTTGTGCTCAATCCAAACAAACCCTACGTTCGTTCTCAAGTCGAACCCCGCATTCGTTCTCAAGTCGAACCCCGCATTCATTCTCAAGTCGAACCCCGCGTTCATTCTCAAGTCGAACCACGCGTTCGTTCTCAAAACGAACCTCGCGTTCGTTCTCAAGTCGAACCCCGAGTTCATCCTCAGGCAAATCTCGTGCTCACTTCAAACGAACCCCACGTTCGTTCTCAAACGAACCTCGCGTTCGTTCTATTGTTCTTTTTTTCCATCGGGTGAAAGAAGAAGGCTGTAGGCAATTTGAGTTAGGGCACAGCCCACTTAACTCTATTTGGTTTTGGGCCCATTTTTTTGGTATGCTTAATTTGATTAATTAAGCTATTAGGCCCTAATTAAGTTTCTTTGGAAATTTTTTCTGTTAATTTGAATTAAATTATTTAATTTGAATTAAAATTGGTAGTTAATCAATTATTTAATTCAAATAATTAAATTATTTAATTTGAATTAAAATTGGTAGTTAATCAATTATTTAATTCAAATAATATGACACTAAGGTATTATATTTGTAAAATTGGTAGTTAATCAATTATTTAATTCAAATAATATGACACTAAGGTATTATATTTGTCTCTCATTCTAATGTTAAATTGAAATAAGAAGTTGCCAAAGTAACCTCTCGTGTAAATTGTTCATGAGAGATGTTAGATGGTTGTGTGTATGTTTTCGTATAAATATTTAATCGGCCCAAAGGAAGGTTAATATTTATTTAGACTGCATACACATCTGTGATGATAAATGTGTGACAATTATAAGGTTCACATGTGAATAATGAATCGATCCAAAGATAGTTCATCTGTGATGATAAATGTGTGACAATTATAAGGTTCACATGTGAATAATGAATCGATCCAAAGATAGTTTCATTATTTGACATAAGTTGTTGTCAATGTTTGATCATTGTAACAAAGTATCACTTACAAATTAATATTATTGTCCAAAGACTTGATATTAATGTTGTGCCAGATATCTTGAGATGGGATTTGTCATTATTTGAATTTTATTGATTACTAATTACAGTTAATAATGTGAATATCTTTTGTTTATTTTAGCTAATGCATCTGCTGTAATAATTTCTGCTAACATCAACTCAATTCTCATGCTTAATGGGACAAATTTCAAGATTTGGAAAGAGAACATATTAATTGTTCTTGGCTGCATGGATCTAGACCTTGCATTAAGAACTGAGCAACCTCAACCTCTCAATACGGATATCACTCCTGATGTTAAGAAGGAGTATGAGAAGTGGGAGCGTTCAAATCGCATGAGTCTCATGATCATTAAGCGTGGCGTTCCGGAAGCCTTCAGGGGCATAGAAACCGAAGGGATTACTAAGGCTAAAGATTTCCTTACCGAAATTGAGAAACGTTTTGCGAAAAACGATAAGATAGAAACAAGCACGCTTTTAGCTCACTTGATTTCAATAGAGTATAAGAGAAAAGGAAATATCAGGGAGTACATTATGGAAATATCTCATATTGCTTCAAAGCTTAAGGCACTTAAACTCGATCTTTGTGATGAGTTATTGGTGCATCTGGTTCTGTTGTCTCTTCCTGCACAATTCAATCAGTTTAAGGTCAGTTATAACTGTCAAAAGGAGAAATGGACTCTAAATGAGCTCATTTTATACTGTGTGCAAGAAGAAGACAGGTTGAAGCAAGATAAGATTGAAAGTGCTCATTTGGCCTATGCCTCTAAGGATACGGGCAAGAAAAGGAAAACTGATAATGAACCTGCTAAGGGTCCAATTCAGAAGAAACAACATAAGGATGACCAGGGTTGTTTCTTTTGCAATAAGGCTGGAGACATAAAGAAGGATTGTACCAAATATCACGAATGGCGTGCTAAGAAGAGTATGTTCCTTACTTTGGTCTGTTTTAAAGTTAATTTAGCTTCAGTACCTAGAAATACTTGGTGGTTAGACTCTGGTGCTACTACTCACATAAGTGTTTCTATGCAGGGTTGCCTGAGCTACCGAAAGCCAAGTGATGTTGAAAGACACATCTTTGTGGGCGATGGACAATCGGTACATGTGGAAGCAATTGGGCACTTTAGGTTGATGTTAGGAACTGGTTCTTATTTGGATTTGAAAGATACTTTTGTAGTACCATCTTTTAGATGGAATTTGATTTCTGTTTCTGTATTGGACAAATCAGGTTATTCTTGTTCATTTGGAAACAATTAATTCAGTTTATCTTTTAATTCAAATATTATGTGAACTGGTTACTTGAGTACTTTTGATAACCTATATTTGCTTGAAACAATTGCTTCTTATATTGAAACTTTGCATGTGGAATCACGTGGTACTTAAGCGTAAATTAAATAAAGAAAATTCGGCGATATTATAGCATAAGCGTTTGGGTCATATCTCAAAAGGTAGAGTTGAGCGTCTTGTGTCTGATGGCATTTTAAATTCCCTTGATTTTTTGGATTTTGACGGTTGTGTTGAATGTATCAAGGAAAAACAGACCAAAGTTAAGAGATTAGGTGCTAATAGATCTTCAGAAGTCTTAGAATTGATACATATAGATATTTGTGGGTCATTCCCTACGGCATCTTGGAATGGTCAATAATATTTTATATCATTCATAGACGATTACTCACGTTATGGGTACATATATCTTATTCATAAAAAATCTGAGTTTCTGGACATGTTCAAAGCTTTTAAAGATGAAGTTGAGAATCAACTCAACAAAAGAATTAGAACCGTTAGATCTGATCATGGTGGTGAGTACTACGGCAGATATGATGGTTCAGGTGAACAACGTTCAGGACCATTTGCTAGATACCTAGAGGAATACGGTATCGTC